TGCCATTTGCCCAAGTTGTCAAACTTGGCAACTGCTTTAGCATTTGCCATTTTTAACAACTGCTATATCTCACCATTGAAGAACCCTTTTTTTCACAAAGCTGCTATATTATAGCTTTGGCAGCTCCAATGGCAAACCATTGGAGATGCTGTTAGTCTAAAGTTTAATCTTTTTTGGCAATAAAACATGTTTAATGAAATTATTTGGTAAGAATGACAATTTATTTTTATTTTTTTATTTTTATTTTTTTTCTAATTTTACACCATCACTGCGGGACTACTACTAGACCATTGCCAAAAAAGTCAATAGAGGTGGCCGGCGGTGATGGTGGAGGTGGTGGTGATAATGATATGGACAGATAGGTGGCACATGAACAAATAGGAGGATGACACGTGGAATTCCGAATCTCCGTATTTACAGCTGTCTATATATCTGGGTCCAGCCTCAGATATTTGTCGGTGGAGAGAGATATGAGAGATATGCTTTCAGATTCTATATATTCGCGTGAATGCAGTCTCTGCTCGAGCAGGAAATCCCACGCTCGAGCGGACCGCGCGATTTCAGATTCTATATATTCGCATGTTGGGTCAATTTTAGGATTACTTCTCCTAGATCTTGTTTAAGGTTTTTTAGGGTTTTGTTTGAAGTTTTCTTCTGGAGATTTTGGTGAGTTTTTCCTTGATTTTTTGAGAAGGTTTGTAACCTATGATCTAAGATACAAATATCAAGGTGTTTGGTTCTTCATAATCAAGAGAGTTATTCTTCGGTGGATTCCAAAGGTTCAAACGTAGAGTTTCAAAGGCGTTTGATTCTATACGTAGTCATTAATTCGACAAGTGAAGTTGTGGATTCAACTTCAGGTTGATCAGTTCCGAGACGAAGGCTTGGTGAAAGAGTTACAAAAGGTGTGAAGACAAGTTGACTGAGTTGGGTAATTTGTGTATTATCTTTGTAATCTTTCTTTCTTCAGTAGTGGATTGATTAGTGGCGTTTTGCTCGTGGTTTTTTATTACAATTGAAGGTTCTTCAATTGTGATTTTTTTACGTAAAAATCGTTTGTGTCGATTTATTGTTTATTCCGAAAAATAACAATCTAAATCACTTTCGCAAGTGCTTGATGATTTAATAGCTTTCATAGTTCTTACTATGTTGGTAGTCTAAATAATATTTCTTTTACTTATTTGGATTTTCCCTATAAATAGGATAGTCTTTTGTTCGATTAGATAAAAAAAGAAAGGGGAAAAAAAGAAAGGGAGATTAGAAGGAAAAAAAAAATATAGTAAAGGTGAGAATTATAGATCTTCTTGAAGAAACAAATAAAAGTTTTAAAAGAATTTAATTCTATAGTTTTTAATTTTTTAGTTTTTCTTTTTTTTTTTTTAGAATATATATATATATTATATCAAAAATAAGAAGTTAGAATAAATCACATAAGGTAAAAAAAAATTGAGAATTGACTATTTTGATTAATTTTTTAATTTTTTATCAAAAAAATGTGTAGAAAAATAAAAAGAACAATTGATTTTTTTGTAGTGAATTTTGATTTTTTTTTTTTAATTTTTATTATTTTAAGGCCTACTTTGAGAAGTGTTAAATAAATTAATTTTTTTGCTTATCACGAAAAAAACGTGTAAAAAATAAAGAAGTGATGTGACTTAAATAAATCATAAAATCAATAAACTGACTTATAAGCCACTTCCCAAAAAAAGCCTAAAAGCATCTCCAATGGTGTTTGTCAAAATAGCATTGCCATTGCTATAATTTGGCAACGAATAGTTCTATTTTATCAAATTATAGCAATGGTACTCCAATGGTCATATGTTATTTTATCAAATCTCGACCAACTTGTCCTCCAAGTTTCTAAGTGTTGTTTGGATATAAGTTTTTTAGTTTTTTTTTTTTTGGTTTTATTTTAATCTTTTGTGATCATTTTTCAACTATTTGTAAAAAAAAATTATATACTTACATTATACCTGACTAAACACATATAAAAAATTCAAAAAAAAATTCAAAAAAAAATTAAATATAATTCACCTGTAAATTTAAATGTAAAATATTCAAAATTATATTGAAAAATAAATGACATTGCAAAATTAAAAAATATATTATCCCGTAATTATTCATAAGGAGGCATTGAAAAATAGTAATTTAGGTTGCTGGCATGTACCAAATTTGGCGAAAATCTCATTTTTGCGTATTATGTAATACGTTTTTATCTGAGGGTTCAAATGAGAAATGTCCGTAGTCATTATCAAACATTCTTCCTTTTTTATCTCAAGTTCTCTCATCTCCTACAAATGTTCTTCCTTTTTGATCTCTAATCCTTTCATCTCCTACAATGCTTGAATCCTTTTTTCTTCTCTTTCAGCTTTTTCATTTCCTTCTCAGCAAGGTGTTGGTTAAATGTCTTCAACAAATTGTTATATTTGTTGACTTCAGCTTGAACAGCTTCACTTTTTCGAAGCAATTCTTTTGTAGATTTCTACCCATAAGCCTTTTACCCCTTGCAGAAGACACTACCCTCACCAATTGGATTATTACCAATAGTTGGATTGTTACCAACATTTGGACTGTTGTCGTCTAAGCAGTTATCCATAGGGGATTTAGGGTTTGAATTAGGGAAAAACGGTGTATGTATCTTTAACTTCATTGTATTCGTAAGAGTTACATCTTGCCACCTGACATTGTTTTGCAAGATTGGCCAACAATATTCAAAAGCAAAATGTTTGTTTTCATATTGATGGTATAAAAGTTTTGCGTGAAGCATCTGTATCAATAAAATATTTAATTAATTAATTAGTTAATTTTTTTATGAGACCAAAAAAAAATGAAGATGAAAGCTTACTATATCAATTTGAGACATCCCACTTGGGTATAGATTTTCAACTTGCGCTAAACACCCACGAAATTTGTTGCAACATTTCATAATTACACTTCATCAATATGAGATAGACACTTGTATTATTGAGTTATCATTCTATATCAAGCAATAATTTTCAAAAATTCTTCCCTAAAAATGAGCATGAGATTGCGAATTCCTAACAATTGGGTATTCAATAATGTGACACCAAGCTCTACAAATTGCCACATCTTTGTGAGTGGTGAATGATTTTCCTCTCTTTGATTTTGATGAACCTTTTATACTAATTGTGTGAAAAATATTAAAAAAAATATAATTGAAAATATTTTTACTGTGAACTCAAATTGGTGAAATAAGATGTGTGTTTGCACTACTACAAAAACATGACCGTTTGTTTTAGCTGTTTAATTTATAGTTGTTGGTGTCTTGTTTGTTTGGAAAAATAGCCTTTTTTTTACTTCCAGATTGAAATAGAGTCGTTGGGCTCATGTTAGACATTCCAAGACACTACCCTCACCATTGGATCTTTATATAAACCAACGGCTGAGATTAACTTCTAGAGTCATCTTCCTCTCTCTTTCGTCTTCCTCTCATTTCCAAACAGTCACTTTATCTCTTTTTTCTCTCTATATCTCTTTTTCTACAAATCCTATCTCTCTTCTCTCTCTCTCTTCGATCAGTGACGATGCAAACTCCTCCTCATGATGGGAACTTCTCTCTCTGCTTTCCGTCACCGCCAATCGTCGCTATCTATCCCCCCCATCCCTCTCTCTCTCTCTCTCTCTCTCTCCTAGAATGGATCGGCGACGTTGGACAAGATTGAAGAGATAATCGCCGATTCTGAACCAAGGACCATTAGATCTACTTTGAACTACCAAAACCAAATCTGCTCCCCTTGCCGGCGATCTCTTTACTGCTTCCTTCAATGCTGTGACTCATCGCCCATCTCTCTCTCTCTCTCTCTCTCTCTCTCTCTCTCAGTTCTGAACTCTAGGCGAAGGAGAAGACGAAGCAGAGATGGTGGTGGTATCTAGCCCTCACATACGATGGAGAAGATGAAGATAGTCATAAAGAAGATGAAAACGAATAAGATAATTGTTGATATCTGTTGGAATATGAACAACACATGGCAAATCCAAGTATTTATTATTTTCAGCTTTGTTCATATTCTAAAATTTTGAGATTTGAAGTTATGAAATTGCTTGTTGAGATTTATTGAAATTGTTAAAAAAAAATTATTGAATCTAAGATTTGTTGACTTTGTTTGAGATTTTGTTGAGATTTATGGATTGTTATTGATTGATTCTATAAAATAAAAATAAAATAAAAAATACAAACTTTACTGATTTTGGGTAAATTTGAAAAAAAAATTATTGAAATTTTTTTTGGTGAATTCTGATAAAAAAGAAATGGTGAAACAAGTTTCTATCAAATTTGTTTTGCTGGAAATGAGGGAGGGAGTGAGGGAATGAAGAAAACAGTTGGTTTTGGTTGAGTTGGCACAAATGGCTACTGCCATATTTAATCATTGGAGCATCATTTTTCAACACAGCTGCTATATTAAAGTAATAGCAGCTCTAATGGCAAACCATTAAAAATGCTCTAAGTTGTTGCCAAACTTGCCCAGCTCGTTTGAAAACATCACAAAATAGTTTAAAGTCAAAAAAAATTTTAAAAAAATTAAAATGTTAAAGGAACCACAGATAGATAGGAGAAAAGAAAAAAATACCAACACATGATAGTGTAAGTGACATTTGCACTCCACCGTCTTCCATTTATACCTCAACACAGACGCATTTGTACCCTTATATATGAATAATTTTTTTCTCTTTCTCACACCTAATGTAATTCTCCCAAACATGTTGATTCACATTTTGGATATCTTTTTTGTAAATACATTAATTTTTTTTATCTCATAATTTAGCTATAAAAAAAATCAATAATAACAAATAATATAAAAAAAAAATGTTTTCATGGAATGTTTTAAAAAATTGGTAAAAGATTGATTTTTTAACTTTTATTTAGTAACTTTTTCGATAAAAAATTGGCTTCTTTCGAATAAAAAAAACTGACTTTTTTAATTTAAAAAAATTAAAAAGTCAAAAAACTGACTTTTTTTAACTTGTCAAATTGAGCCAAACGAGGCGTTAGTCTTCTTTGATATGGATCATCAATAACGGCTCGACCGTGCTCAACCGTCCTTTGGAGATGATGATGATGATGGCCACCTGCATCGACCCCTCCTCCCTCCTCTGCTCCTCCACCGCCGCCGCCGCCTCCACAAGCCGCCGCAATTTCAAATTTCCCGCCAAATCTCGACCAACGGTCTCATCCTGTGGCAAGACCGCCTATGATTCAAGTAAAAACTCTTCCTTCTTTCCTTTCTTCATTCTATCTTTACTTTCTAATGTTTCTCTTGCATTTTCTTAGCTACCAAACGAAGCTCTCTATTACCATTTACTAATAGGTGCTTCGATTTGTACTAATTCCTTTAAACTTGTTAGGGTTTCCTTGTTGTTAAGTAGTGAAATTACAGAGCTGGGTTGTTCTATATGTTTTTATAGTTATTTCAATTATTAATTTGCTTACAGATTGTGCATCTTTTGGAAGGAGAGAAGTTTTATCTCTGGTTACTATTCCATTTTTTCTTCATCTCCATGAATCCCCGGAAGGTTTTCGCGCTAATGCTGCGGAGTAAGTTACTTATAAACTATAAAATTACCCTATTCTTTTTAGGTTTAGGAAGGGGATGGCTTCTCCCTAGTTCAACTTTCAACTGAGCCAAACAGTTGAGACCTTACCGGTAAGAATCTTTTAAAAAATTTAACAGTGCCATATCTTCATAGGCTCTTACTGGTAAGAAATTTTCGTTTAATGATTTTTACCGATAAAAAACCTCAATTGTCTGGTCCAGTTGAAAGTTCAACCGAAGAGAAGCCAAATCCTTTTAGGAAAATGATATCGTAACATTATTTACGACTAGAAAAATAATGTGACAATGGTGTTATTACCTTTTCTTTTTTTTTTTTTTTTTTTTGGGTTAGAGTGTAGATGTTTTTCTTCTTGGCTCCCAAACTAGGAACAGAAAGAAAAAAAAAAAGAAAAAAAAAAATATGTAGGAAACAACATAACAGTTTATGTTTTTTTTTTTTTTGTTATGATTAGTAATTGTAGGAGGCACATTTTTTCTTTAACTAATAGAATTATTAGTTTTCGTTTATTTTTGGGTTCTTAAGCCATTTTTTTTTCTTATTAAGGATCCGTTTGGAAACAGGCTAATTTAGTAACTTTTTGACTATTTGGCTAAAATATGAGCTAAAAAAAACTAATATCTTTGGGATAACTTTTTGGCTTTTTACGAAAAGATGTGCAAAAAGTAGAGAGAAAAGAGAATCTTTGACTTTTTGGTATGGGTTGTTGGCTTTTTGGCTAATTTAGTAACTTTTTGACTTTTTGACTAAAAAGTTTGGTTGCCAAACGAGGCCTAAGTATAATTCTTGCAAAACAGAAGACCTATGTGTCAAGAATATTTCTGGATTTTCATTATGTCTTCTCTAAGTCATGAGTAAGCTACTTCTGTCGAGGAACAAAATTATTGTTTTTTAGTATCATTTATGTTGAGTCGAGAATCCTTTAGAAACTCAATGAAAACTGTAAAAAGAAAATTGTGAACTCATGGAAACAATCAGCAACATGTAATATGTCTCAGACCTCTTTACATTCGTACAAGACGATACTTAGTTTAATGCAAATGTGAATTAGCTAAATGTTTGATTTTGATTTGTAGCCAAAATTTTCCGGTTGACTTAAATTCTTGTCTGTTATGCAGCTGGTCCAACTTTAAATTTGGTTTACTAGTCACTAAATCTAAATCATGAGTTATGGATATCTGTATCATATTTTCTAGCACACTTTTTGCCTTTATTGACAATGAAGTTTGGGTGCCAGTGATTATTTTCTCGTAAAGGAGGAGGTAAGGAAGGTATTGTCCAAGGGCAAGGCTGCTGGTGTACTTCGTTTAGTTTTTCATGATGCAGGAACCTTTGAAACAGATGGGAATGCAGGTAAATGTTTTGAGGAATTAATCTGCAAATAATTACTTAGTGCAGTCGTAAACATTACTTCTACTTAAGATCCTTTCTCCATTTATTTATTGCTCATGAATTACTGTGGAACATTTTGGGTATCACAATTGTTCTAGTCTTTTTCAGCGAAATTTTGAGTGTTTCCTTCCAATCTATCTCCTGCTTTTATACCTGTTTATTGTATCTGGGTCGCCTAAGTTGGCCACTCTTCATCAGCTTGCATGGCTATAACATTGCCTCTTTATCACATTATTGTGCAACACTCATAGGGTCACTTTAGAAGATCAAAATAGGGCAACAACCAGATGCAGTAAATGTTAGCTAAAGCTTTAAGCTTTAAAGATAAACTTTTTCTATCAAAATTTGCTGTCTTTTGTTAGCCCCATGGCTGAGAGTGCCATAAAATTGTTTAAGCTACTGACAGCTGTTTAGTGCTTTCACTTGACAAGTTGACATATATGTATATGACGTTCGTTGAAATTTTAAATGGTTGTCGTCCTGTATCAAATTGATTGGATGTAAGATTTCTTTCTTAAATGTTTGGGTTTCTTTCTTCTAGGGAATGGAATTTCCAAGGTTTATAAGGAGGATGATGTAGCATGGCCTTCATGAGGATTCCTTCAATTCATGATGGGAAAATTTATATGTTTATGTAAAAATTTATGTATTATTGATTGATGCTTTTATGTATTACAAGATTCCTATACAATCTATATATAGAAGAAAATGTGGTAGTAGGTGTAGTGGTTTTACGGGACAAAATGTTGGGAAACTACGAAACAACACGTTCGCAAAATGAGTATAGTTGAGATAAGGATGCTAAAATGGATATATGGTTAGATTATGAAAGATAGAATTAGAAATTAATATATTTGCAAAATGGTAGGAGTAGTTACAATTGAAGATAAGTTGATAGAGAATATGTTAATATGGTTTTGTCATGGACAATGAAGACCTGTAGATGCAATGATAAGGAAGAGTGATATTGTCACTATATAAGCAAATATTAGGTAGAGGGGAAAACTTAAACTGCCATGCGATGCGGTAGGAAAAAAAAATTTATTTATTTAATTTAATTGAGCATATGGCCCTTGACAAAACAAAATGGTGAAAAAAGATTCTTGTAGGATTAGTTTGCTTTGGTTCTCTCTCTCTTTGTCTCTCTCTTGAATTGAGCTGAGCTGCACTTTGGCTTCTTGACAAATACCTAAATTTGTGAACTATATTATTGTGACATTTTGAAGGCCCTTTTTATTCATATATACTTTGGTCTTTTGTTTCCTCTTTTTTATTTCTTTTTTCTTCTTCTCTTTAAATACTATGAACTGCTTTTGTTATTTCAGGTGGAATGAATGGCTCTATAGTATATGAACTGGATAGACCTGAAAACACAGGTCTTAAAAAACCTATCAAGGCAAGCTCTCTCCCGTCTCTTGCACTCATCCCCCCTCCCCTATTACAGTCTATTACAGTTGTTATGCACACACATATACATAGTAATATATATATATATACACTACATTTCTGTGTTTACTTGTAAACAATTTCAAGTTCTCATATGTCTGAGCATATATCCAGAATGATGAACTTTTACCCAACCACCAACTGTCTAACTCCTCAGTGGATACGTTGGTTGTTTAGATTCTTGAGAAAGCAAAGGCTGAGGTGGATATGAAACAATCAGGTTATTACCATCGAAAATTAAATTGTTGAAAGTAATTTAAACTTCATCAGATTTATGTTTCACGGGCCGTTGCTTGGTGCAATTGTAAATGTATAGATTAGATGTTTTGGTATATCCTAACTCTTTGTGGCTTGTTTCTATATTAGTATCATGGGCAGACATGATTGCCGTGGCAGGAGCTGAAGCTGTTTCTGTTTGTGGAGGTCCAAGGATTCCAGTTCAGTTAGGGAGATTGGATTCCATGTAAAGGGCTAAACTTTTGCTAAATATGATATAGAATCAGATTTGCTTAGACTGAGCAAAACTGGTTTCTTTGGTCAATTAATGCTAAAATCCTCAAGCTTCAGCTTTCAATTAAGCGTTCGAGATGCTTTGGATCTTAGTTGTCCAGTGTCCATCAGTTTCTGCCTACTTTTAAAATTTGAACAGTAGCTGCTGAAGAACTGTCAGCCTAATTATTAATTATAATTCTGCTTTACAGGGTCCCTGATCCTGAAGGGAAACTTCCTCAAGAATCATTGGATGCTACTGGCCTGAAACAGTGTTTTCAAAGAAAAGGCTTCACGTGAGTTTAAATAGTGGACACAGTATTTTTCTATTTGATTGCTTGATGAATAAACTGTTTATTGGAGTCTTTATCTTTATGTTTCATAAATTCTCCAAAAACTGTTAGTGCCCTTGATGTTTTTAAATCCATATGGCATATTCCCATTGCAGAACTTTTGACTCTTGAATATTATGTTCAGTGATCAAGAGTTCCTCTTTTGTTTCTCACTATCCTTCTGTCTTTGATTAATGTCATTTTAGATATTAAAATGTAGTCTTTTAATCACCCATGCAATTACTATTCTTTTTTGTTACTTGAGTTGATAGAAAAGACTTGGCTGCAAGTCCTGAATAATTAAGTTTTTCCTAGTTTCTTTCTGAAATGGACCAATCCTCATCATTTTAAAATGGATAAGGAGCTTGGGCATGTCAATGCAGTTGCTTAATATCTTACATAGTCATTGTGCACTAAATATTAAGTAGGTAACTTCTTTATATATACATAAAAGGATAGATGATGTCATTGAGAGTGCATACTGTCTACATTATTTCAGATGTTATTTTTATTTTGCTGGCGCTTCTCAAGACTCCGGAGTGTATAAACCTATTGATGATTTGGATACAGAGGCTCGAAGTCTCATACATGATTTCAGATGTTATTTTGATTTTACTGGCCCTTCTCAAGACTGAGGAGGGTATAAACCTATTGATGATTTGGATACAGAGGACCATCAAGTGGAGTTAGGTGACATACAGGTGAGGTGGGATGTTCCATGATGCATCAATTCGGTCTTCATTGTTATTCAGTTCCATCTGAAAGGGCTAGATGTCAAAATATATCTGGGGCCACGAAAGAATGTTCTGAATTTATTGAAATTAGCAACTTGATGGATTTTCCTCTTAGAAGAGGGCAACTTACTTGGTCAAACAACCACAAGTTCACAGCACTTCATCTTTATATAGGATTATTGACATGTTCTTCGGTGGCTTCTATTCAAGGGGAGCACTTGTTGGATGTATTGAAGTCTATGCTCCAAAACTTCATGTTAGATCACGTGTGTCTTCTGTTGGATAGTGGGGGACTTCTTCACAGTGGCAAGGTGCCAATCAGTATGGAAAATTTGGCTGGAGGATTTCAGGATATAATGATGGGGAGATGGGATGGGTATAGGATTCAGGGACAACTTGAGAAGCACATATACAAACACATGAAAGATATGGCATACTGACATACCGATACAGGAATTTTCAAAAAATTAAAACGTAAGGCACAGTGATGGCACAACAATAAATTGATATTTATTGTAGATTTGATTGTGGTTACGTTTAACTGGGGTGATGTAAGGGAACAATTTGGATACTACTTGGTGGATTGGGAGGTTTGTGTTCTTTGAAGGAGGGCAGCCTAGGGTTTGGGTGTTGGTTACTTTGAACCAACTGCTTTTAGGAAAGTGGCCATGGAGGCATTTAGTTTAGATGGATGGTCTGTGAGAACATGAAAATATGTTCGTATTTAAGAGTATGTTCTCCTTTGAAGGAAAATATGGGAGCTTAGTGTCTGTATGGATGTATAGTCAGGTGAGAACCTCCTAAGAGGAGTCACTAGAAGAAAATGAGAATGTTGAAATGGACGAGCAATGTTAGAAGAAAAGATAAATCAAGAAATAAATCTATTATGAAGAAGTTTGAATTCACACCAATAGAAGATAAGATGAGGGAAAATTGTTTGAGATGATATAGCCTCTTGGGCTAGGGAACCTTAACCACGAACAATGTCAATTGGTTGCCCTCGGTTAACAAGACCTGGGAAATTTTGGAAGCTATAAACTAGTTAAAGCAGTATTCTAGTCAATAAATGTAGGAGTTATATTTGTTAGGCATGTTTGGCCATATGTACATTATGATTGATAGCTTTCTACAAAATTCATGGCCTCGTTGCATTGTCTTGGCAGAACACAAGAACTTGTTGCATTATCCGGGGCTCATACTCTTGGAAGTAAAGGCTTTGGAAACCCAACTGTCTTTGATAATTCATACTTCAAAATTCTTTTAGGGAAGCCGTGGTTGTCTTCAGGTGATTGACATAATCTGGGTCTTATTGTATTTGTCAACTTACATCTCATTATTAAATTTTCTCAGTCAGTCAGTGCGGTCTAGACCTAGTTATATGTCTTCTTACAGATTCTTCACTTATCATTGATCTATGCAGGTGGTATGTCAAGTATGATTGGTCTTCCTTCAGATCGTGCACTTGTTGAGGATGATGAATGCTTAAGGTTTGTCATTTTCAGAACCCTTTTTTAACTGCCTTTACTCATGACCCAAACTATAGAGAAATGGCAATTAGTATTTTCAGCTTCACTGCAATAAAATTTTGTGACATGTTTACTAGTATCATTATAACTCAAGCTTCATGAAATTCTTTGTAGCCTAGATTTTGCTGTAATTGAAGAATAATTGTATGATTCTTGTCAAATTTTATATGATTTGAATGATGATGGGTTATTCTTCGTATTGATCAGGTGACTTCTTCTCTGCCTTAATTAAATACAGCATGCGTTTTTGTAAAATATTTTGCAATTGAAAAATTAGTTTTGAGGTTCTCCCTTACTCAATAGCTTTGAAGTCCAAAAGGATTGTTAATTTGCTATACAAGTCTCATGCCGATTGGCCCAACAAATGTAATTGGATTATATATTTGCATTATGGTCTGTGTCAGTTGATGCAAATTAACATAATCTGACAAATAGCAATCTTATTCTCAATTTGCTTACTATTGTGCATGTAAATATTTTCCTTTGCACAGGTGGATTTCCAAGTATGCCGATAACCAGAATTTGTTCTTTGAAGATTTTAAGAATGTCTACACCAAGCTTGTGAATACTGGTGCAAGGTGGAAAACATCATTGTAATTCCTTGAGAACCACAATATGTTATTGCATGTTATAATCTTTTAAAATATATATATATATATATATATATTTGCTTGAGCTTGGTTTGTTTAGGAAGAAATAAAAACATGAAGGCATTATGTAATTTTAATCATTCATGTTTCTATGATTTCTGATTTAAATATCAAGGTGTGTCTCATTATGAGGCAAAGCTTGGGTAGTTCACATCATCAAATGTATTGGATCAAGAAGAGACTTGCATGACAAAGCATTCCACTTCTTTTTTCCTATACGAGTACAGAACTTTTTGTCTCAAAAATGTATTCTTTTTCACCTTTGATATAGGAAACAGAGAAAAGTTAACAACCTAATGAACTTCTTGTTTTTCATTATTTTCTTCCAATTATTGTTGGTGTTCTCGTTCTACGTGTGTTCAGCTCTCGGTATCTGTACAAATCAAGTTTTGAACATATCTGTACAAATCAAGTTTTGAACATATTTTGACGTACATTAATTTTTTGAACTCAACTCAAAATTCAACTTTTCGTTAGGCTTATATTCACTATAGAATGGTTATAGAAAATCGAAATACTCAAGCTCGACTTGATTGAAACTCATTTGAGATTGAATGAAAGATAAATTAAGTTTGAATGCATTAGAATGGTTTGGAACTTTTAGTTTTATTTTTTTTTTTGGTTTTATTTTCTGTACCTCCTGGACAGTAAGCAAAACAATATTGAAGAAGAGAGAGTGATTTTCCAGAAAGTACTGATTACCCAATTGCTGGGATGTTTTGTTAGTGTTGTAAGAAGTCTCCTTTAAAAGCCAGTTTTTTGGTTTAAGAACTATTTTTGGGGGGTTTTTTTACATGGAAGCTCCTTAAACTATTGAGAAATATCATTTCGACTTATAAAAGCATAAAAATGAGCACTTAAACTATTAAGAAGTATCATTTTGTTTCCTAAATTTTAGAAGTATACAAATGGATTCCTTAAATTATTGGTGTGTGACCCCTTCCGTTTTGGGGTTTCAATTTGTATGGTTTTGTAGTTTAAGGGATTCATTTGTACATTTTATAGTTTAGGGAGTATATTTATATGATTTTATAGTTTAAGAGGTAATGTGATAATTTTCAATAGTTTAGTAGATCTATTTGTATATTTTCATAATTTAGGAAATTAAAATGATAAATCTCAATAATTTATAAAACTCATTTATATGTTTTTATAATTTAGGAATCAACTTTGGCAAGCCAAATGTTTTTGTTCAACCATTTTTGTTATGCTATATTTTGAAATTTTTTGCACAGTAAAAATCCATTGGAGAGCCACTTTTTCAGATGAATATCTAACGCTTCGGCTTTAGTTTCGACTTTTTCTATAGACTTTTTACAGCCAACAAAAATGGGTTAAAAAGGCGTTGTAAAATAATTTTATGATTGTCAATTCAAGTTGGAATAAATTCAAATGTGTACAATGTAACTAAGGTTATGTTTGGATTATAAATTTAAATAGGAAAGAAGGTGGATAAAATGTAAATGAAATATAAGTATATTTCACTTATTTTTTTTCTTTCATTTAAAAAAAAAATTATCAAAATTTATGATCCAAATAAGACTTTAATTACACAGTACATATACTTAAATTTATCCTAACTTGAGCTCACAACTATGGCTGAAATGTATTTATATTTCATTTATATTTTATCTACTTTTTATCTCACTCAAATTCATAATCTAAATACAATTTTAAAGTGTCTATAAGCTTTCCTCTGAAAGGAGAGGAAATGAGTAAAAAATCAAGAGTCTTATAATTTTGTTAAAAAGAAAAAAAAAACAAAAAACAAATAAATATAAATAAAAATAAAAATATAGAGCTAAGTAGCTAGGGTCATGGATTAATCACCAATGAAAATTCTTTGATTGAAGTGTTCTCCAACAATAGTGGTCTCAAGATTTTTAAGATTCCGTGTTTAATATTAAAATGAGATATTATCTTTATTAGAATTTTAAAAATTGTGACTTTTTGATGATAAATTTTGTACTGTTGTTTGTGTATTAGTAAATGTGAGAGTTCAAAATAGGTTTGTCCACTTTGTCCGGAGCCCATTTTGGAACTCACATCGGAGGGAGTTCTCAGCGGACAATATCTCATATTAGTTAGGAGGAGTTAGTCAACTTATAAAGTGGGTTATGAATGCCTCTCAGACCAATGTGAAACACAATGTGAGACAAACCCATTTCGGGACGAAATGGGACTCACATCGGAGTTAGTTCCCACAAACGATGCTAAATGAAACTGTCAACCCAACCCTACTAGTACAATATTGTCCGCTTTGGCCGAAGTCTCACAATTTTACTCTTCTTTAGAAAAAGCCTCATGCTAGTTAAGAGAAATTAATCAACTTATAAAATGAGTTATGGATGCCTCTCAAGCTGATATGAGATAAACCCATTTCGAGCTCCCGTCTAATTCCAATCCATTGCAATTTTCTCAACTTATCTTGATGAATATATGGATTTATTAAAATAGATTTCATAGCAACATTGGGTGTATTAATTCCATGTGCCTACCACTTTATTTTGATGGTTTAATCTATACACTTTTCGTAATGAATTTAGGTTGATATTTTTGTCAAAAAAATGAACCTATATGATTTGAAACGTTTGGAGTTTGGTTTTTTTTAAACTATCATCTCAATTTGAGAAAGAGTTTGGACTTGATAAGCCTATTTTGAAATCTATTTTGATCATCTAAATCGTTTACTTTTTTAGACTCATTCAATAAAATATTCATGCAAAAAATTAATATGATTAGATATCGATAGTTATATATTTGATTAATATTTATTTTTGAAAAAAATAGACGACAAACATAATTTCAAGAATAATTGTTCATTTTTTATAATTTAAATTTAATTCAAGCATATAACTATTAATGTCTAATGATCTTAATTTTTTAAATAAATATTCTACTTAACAAGTCCTAAAAAATGAAAAATTTAAATAATTGAAACGAGATATATGATACAAGCCCTTCAAATTTTCTCCTATTAACACGTTGACGAGGGAGAAACTTAACTCATTTGAGAATATAACATCATTTTATTTGAAAACAAGTACAATAACAATATGTAATTATTATGATTATCAGAATTTTGTTTAGATTATGACACATGGAAAAATTATGTAGTGGTCTTAGGCAAGGGCAAGCCCACGATTCGTCGATGGGGTGGGCTAATATTAAGGTAAAATTATACAATATATTTTAAGTATAACCACATAAAAAAAAAGAGAATTTAATAATATAATCTAAATTAATATCTAAATTTATTGATTAGAAACAATCTAATTAAGTTGTACTCGACGAGTTTCTAAATATTCAAATTCATCGATTACAAAATCTAGATCAATTTTCAATGTAAGGTCTCATTCAAGGTAGAGAGACAAGCAATCGGCAAGAAACTCATCTCCCGTTGAATTGCGAATGACAGTTTTAACTAAGAGCAATATAGAACATTGAACAATGCAGCATCATAAAAAAACTAAGAGTAATATAATATTTGTTGCATAAACACAAAATTTTAAAACCATTGTTAATCAATTTCATTCTCAACCAATGAAATAATATAATTGGTTAATTACATTTACAAAAAATATTAGGAAAGTGGAGTTGCTATAGGCTACTAGAGACGACGGAGTAGACGAAGAGAGGGCTGCTTCCTATCTATTGAAAGATGTGAGGATTGTTTTGGAAGATTTGTTCTTTAAACAAATACAAGCCTATGGGCCTACCTAACTATTTTTTTGGGTAAGTATTGGGTAGCTACTGCCTATTTAAAAAACAAACAAAAAAACTATTGGCCCTTATTTGAGGCTAGGCTGGGAGAGGTTGGGAGGCTATGTTGGGTGGGAAAAAAAATTTCTATAGATTTTTTAAATTTTGGGCTGGGCTGCAGCCACATATGCCCAGCCCTAGGTCCGCCCTTGGTCTTAGGGTAATGGCTCATGGTGCCTAATTTAATATGATTGGTAGAAATTGTATGACTCAATATTTTTTATTAGAGAAATGTTTGGGACTCTTTTTTGGGGGTTTCATGACCCCCAATTTGATCTTGGCCCTTGATGTGTGTATGTGGAATCTACTCATGTATGTGTGAGCCCCACATTATGAGTGGTTGGGATGAGAGCGAGGGTTGTGAGGGTCATATATGTGTGGATGTCTCTATCACAATTGTTTTTTATTAAGTTATTGGGATACAACTTGAGAGTGTCAAGTATTTGTTGGTATAATCCTAAACTACAAAGGAAAATGAGTGAGAGCACTAATTAGTGCTATCACTAATAATGTGGCAGTGGGTCCCACCCACTACCACAGTATTGTTGTGTCTATTTTTTTTTTTTTTTTTTTTTTTTTTTAAATGGATGTCAACTCATTAGTGCTAGTTTGGAGCACCACTTTTAGTGGTCTCTATCATTGCTGAACTACAAAATAACTTGTCTGACACAAAAAATTATTGATTGATCTAAGGGTACGCGTGACTTTGTTCGTGGCCAATCACAAACCACAATGCCCCTTATATTTCCTAATCACTCAATACAAAATTATAAATTTCACCTCATCTAATAATCAATAATATATATATGTGGAGTACCACGTGCTGTTACCCCTCGACCAACCAATAACTTCTCCTCCGACACATGAGTTTAGAAGTATCAAATTAAAGTAAGTGATGCTCCAAGCCAGCAATGGGCTAGATCGGTGCTGAAAGCCTAGGCTTGATTCAAGCCCATGGGCTTTCATTGGCCAACCGATCGCGTCTAGGCAATGGCGTAGCTCATATAGGTTTTAATTGGGCTTTAATTTGGATTTTTTTAATTAAATTCAAAACAAATTGGAAAAATAAAGAAGTTGTACTACAAATTTTTGCTGTACATTACAATTTTGAATAATAAAAAATTCTCCATTCATTGAAATGCATAATTACATTCATTATAATTATGTTATCAAGTTGTATGCATTTTTAATCTCATGGAAATATAGTTACTGACTTGGTTTCTCAATTTCAATCTCATTGTTTTACTAAAATTGTATACACACCCAAAAAAACAAAAAGAAAAAATAGAGAGAGACAAAAAGTCAATTGAGTTGGGCCATGCAGACCATGACGGACCCAAGCCCAGCCAAACTTGGGTCAGACTTAAGTCCAGCCGAACCTTGATGGGACAAGCCCTAGGCTTCTTTATGGGACGGATTATTTAGCAACCCTTTAAAATAGTTTAAAAGTTAACAAATTCTTGAAAGTCAAATTTTTATTTTTTTTTCATTCACTCTATTTTGTAAATATTTTTTTTTAAAAAAAAAAAAACAAA